AGGAAGGAAGGAAGGAAGGAAGGAAGGAAGGAAGGAAGGAAGGAAGGAAGGAAGGAAGGAAGGAAGGAAGGAAGGAAGGAAGGATTGACTATCAAGGGTTAGGGTTAGGGTCACGACCACTTCCACCAACATTGACTGGGAAAGCCACTCTCTTCTAGTATGGATGATATTATCAAGCTTGGTAACAAAACATCTGCAAAAAAAACCACCAAGCTCAGAGAGTACCAAGGACCCCACAGTAGTATTCCTCTTCCTTCTCCCCCTCCTCCCCACAAACCCCACTCCCTTCTAACATTGATATTATAGAGATGGGTCATGAGACATCTGTAAAACATCTGCCAAGCTCAGGGAGCTCTGACCCCACCGTTTTTCTCCTTCTTTTGCTCCTTCCTTCCTTCCTCCCATCCTCCCATCTTCTGCCTTCTCTCATTTTCCCCTTCCTCCCCCTCATCCTTCTTCCCCCTCTTCTCTTTCCTTCCTTCCTTCCTTCCTCCCCTCCCTCCATCCCTGCCTCTCTCTTCCCTCCACCTCTTCCTTCTCATCCCCCTCTGTCTACTAACTGACCTGCACTCCCTAGTACCCACCAAGAGCATTCATGCATGACTCCCATACATCTTACCCTGCCTTGTTTAGCAACAACAACCAAAGTCCCAATTGCCACTTTAACCTGGAGACAACCTGTACAAGTAATCCTCAATTTACAACAATTCATTTAAAATTGCTCATTGTTCCAACCACACTGAAAAAAGCAAGTTATCCTCATAGTTATGACCATCATAGCATCCTCTCAGTGACATGATCAAAATTTGGGAGCTTGGCAATCAGCATGTATTTATGGCAGTTACAATATCTTGGAGTCATGTGATTATCATTTGTGACTAGCAGCTTGCTTCTTTCTGACCAGCAAAATCAAAGCAGGAAGCCAGATTTGCTTAACAATCACATGATTCACTTAACAACTGCCACGATTCATTTAACAACGGTGGCAAAAGTCAAAGAAGAAAATTGGATTTGCTTAATGATCACATGATTCACACAGCAACTGCCATGATTCACTTAACAACCATGGCGAAATTGGCTGTAAAATCGTGCACCAGCAATGTGAGACCCTGTTGTTGCGCTACCAACTAAAAAGTGACTAAAACCTACGCTCCTAACCTTGATTGCTGTTTGATATTTCTGGATCCGGTTTATGGGTCTCTCTAGATAGTGTTGGAGAGGGAGTATCGGCGGCAGGGAAGGATCCTCACTGGCCAATGTCCCTTCTGTGTATCTCTGGAGGAAGAGAAACATAATAGCAAGGGGTTTATTAATCCAGTTTGCTTACCATCCTAGAAAGCCCTTCATCCCTTTACAGACTACACCATTATTCTATGTTTCACACTGAATTTTCCTATTATTGTTCTAATAAAGAAGTGACTTTCTTCACTAGGAGCATTTCAGCACCATACAAATAGAATGATCTTATCCATATATTGCTCTGGCTTGCTATAAAGATGCATATTTTTATGTCACCTTTAAAAAATAATAATCTCAAGATGGCACACATACCGAATAATTCTTCCTCCACCTATTTTCCTCACAACAATAACAACCACGTGAAATGGGATGGCCTGAGAGAGAGGGACTGGCTTAAAATTATCCAATTGGCTTTCATACTTAAGGCAGGACTACAATTCACCATCATCTGGTGATTGAGCCAAGGTCACCCAGGTGGCTTTTATGCCTAGGGCAGAACTACAACTCACCGTCTCCTGGTGATTAGCACAGAGGCATCCAGACAGCTTTCATGCTTAAGGTGGGACTAGAACTGCCACCTTAGGGGTTTTGTTGGAGCCCTGACATTCACCATCTTCTGGCCAAAGTCACCCAGCTGGCTTTTATGCCTAAAATGGTACTAGAACTCACCATTTCCTGGTTTCTAGCCTGGTGCCTTCACTACTAGAGCAAACTGGTTCACCAATGTATAATATACGCTTGGTGTACAAATATAGGACTATTTCCAAAGAATTCTGGGTCATTACTTTTCATGTTGGTGAAATGTCCAGCAGAAGACTCTTCCAGTTGAGGGTGCCCTCACCTTATAAAATTCCTGGACTGCTTTGCTGACCACAATGGACTCAGCTTGAACTCGGCCCACCAAGTAGGTGATGTATTTGTCAAATTCAGTTTCATTTTTAAGGAAGCACATGGCCACATCATCATCTGTATCACACTTCTGAAGCTCTGGGAAGAAGGTGCTGTGGGAAAAAGTAGAAAGGAGCATGAGAACTGGATATGGGCAGTGGGGTGGACTAAAAGACCTCTAAAGTGCCTTCCAGCCCTGTGATTGTATGATCTTCCAATTCCTGGCTTTCTTCCCAGCTGAAGTATCCTTTGTCATTCAACTTAGCAGTAGTTAAACACCATCCAACTTGCCCTGTCCAAATGCTTTTTAAAAAAAATCCAGAGAGTTAAAAAAAAGTCAAAATGGCAGACTAGAACTCAAAACTCAACCTGTTTTTATTTCTGCCATTCACATGAACCCTGTAAACAACCTGAAAACAAGTCCTTAAGACAACAGAGTGGGAGAAACAAAGAAAAGACACATTGCTTTTCCAGGAAACAAGATTCTGGGTGCCAACATTGAAAAGGCCCTACACTTAAATGATCTCAGTGGAAGGAAAAAATTAGACCCGGTAGCCTCAGTACAGGTAGTCCTCAATTTACAACAGTTCATTTAGTGACAATTCAAAGTTATAATGGTACTGAAAAAAGTGATTTATGACCATTTTTCACACTTATGACTGTTGTAGCGTCCCCAGCGTCATGTGATGAAAATTAAGAACGCTTGACAACTGGTTCATATTTATGACGTATGCAATGTCCTGGGGTCACGTGATCCCCTTTTGCGACCAAATAGGGGAAGTCATTCACTTCACAACCATATCAGTAACATAACTACTGCGGTGATTCACTTAACGACTGTGGCAAGAAAGGTTGTAAAATGGGGCAAAACTCACTTAACAAATGTCTCACTGAGTAACAAACATTGGGGGCTCAATGGTGGTCATAAGTCAAGGACTACCTATAAAGTAAAATAATAATAATAATGTGGCTAATATATCAGAAGACATCGTTTTATAAAACTTTGCTTGAGTGGATAGTGGCACACAGGGATGCAGGCCTTCTTATTAAACTACTTTTTTAGTATATTTCATTCTTTAAAAGCCGTTTGGCTGTTATATATCTACGTACTTGGAATGAAACTGTGTTATGTCAGTAATATTTCTGAAAATAACAGGTTTCTGGTTGGATACAGCAACAGGGACAGCAGGACAAGTCTCTGTGAACTGGATGTGGTGTGTTTGGAGGAACTGAAGATCCTTGACATATTCCTCTTCTGTGCCCAACAGGTCTTGAATGATAAGGCTAAAAAGGAAGCAGAAACAGAAAAACGAGTGAAAATTCATGAAAACACATCCCATCCTTTGAAGGTGACCATCAGGGAAATTCATTCTAAATTTCAACAGATAAGCATGAAAGTACAGGTAGTCCTTGACCTATGACCACAATCAAGTCCAAAATTTCCGTTGCTAAGCGAGACAGTTGTTAAGTTAATTTTGCCCCATTTTACAACCATTCTTGCCACAATTGTTAAGTGAATCTCTGCAGTAACACGATTGTGATGTGAATCTGGATTCCTCATTGACTTTGCTTGTCAAATTGTCACAAAAGGGGATCGTGACCCTGGGACACTGCAACTGTCATAAATATGTGTCAGCTGCCAAGTATCTGAATTTTGATCATGTGTCCATGGGGTTACTGCAACGGTCGTTAAGTGTGATAAATGGTCATAAGTCACTTTTTTCAGTGCCATTGTAACTTTGAATGGTCACTAAATGAACTGTGGAGGACTACCTGTATAGAGGGTGGCAGGTAGATGCTGCTATGTGCCAGAAATGCAAACCGGCAGAGGGGCCCACGAATCCCTTGTTACCCTGGGAGCTTCTGGGATAACAAAGAGGCAGGAGTGACTTACAGAAGTGACTCATGAGATTCCCTGCCGGCTTCCCCAGTGACTTTGCTGATGGGGAGCCAGCTGGAAAGATCACAAGATAATCTTTATTGTCATTTTTTACTGTGAGCACACTGGCATACGTTAAACATGAAATTTTGTTGCCTGCTCTCAAAAGAAAGTATATATCTACCGCTATACATACATAACACACATATATACATGACACAGATACACACACGCAAATACACATCACTGTCCATTTTGAATACACAATGGAAAGAGGAAACATGAGAGTTCACAAGGTGGATGCTAGATGAAACAAAACTGTGATTGAATCTAGATGTTCGGATACCACAAAGCCTCCTTCCAAATGCCCTGGTCCAATGGATCCTGCACATGGTGGGGTTTATACACGGTGACCTCTAAGTCCCTTCCCATGCTGTGATTTTATGAAATGATTCTTTTATACCAGCTATAAGAGTAGGACACAGACAGAGAAGAAGTTGGCTCCAATAGGAAGAATTTTCACCAAGCTCACCTTAATTTCTTCCGATATTCATCCTCTGAAACAGATTCTCCATGGAACTCCGGAACATCAGGGACACCCCACTCTGCAGAGAGCTAATATAAAAAAAAAAAAAAAAACAGCATATAAGGATTTCGGCCTTGGGCAAGGAGTTGGGCTAGAAGACCTCCAAGGCCCCTTCCAGCCTTAGGATTTTATGATCTAGTATCTACCAGGAAGGGATGTCCTTAAGATAGCTTTCGAGTCTTCCAGCCAAGGTGCAAAGGATAGAAAGTAGCTGGGTTATAGCCTGGGAGCTTCCATCTTGACTTAGGAGGGACTCTAGCCCCTATTATGTTCAGATGTTCCTGCACACAACTTTTTGCATTCAATATATGGTGTCCTGCCTGAATCTTACACCACCCTGCCACCATCTGTCGGACTGTCTCTGAGGCCTCTTTCCACAGTCTGCATATTAGGCCTTGTGTAGTGGGGTAGACACACCCTCCCCACCGCTTCTATGGATCTGGTGCTGAATGTCTAAATTTTTTCTTCCCTGCTCTCCTCACTTCTGAAATGCACATTTCCCTTGTTTTCCTTCTTCTTCCACCCAGGCTGCGTCAAAGAAGATGCAAAAGGAAACACGATGACCCCGGGACAATCAAGTGTCATAAATATGAGCCAGTTGCTAAGCAACTGAATTTAAATCATGTGACCCTGGGGATGCTGTAATGGTTGTAAGTGTGAAAAACATCCATAAGTCACTTTTCAGTGCTATTGTAACTTCGAATGGTCACTAAATGAATGGTTATAAATTCAGAACTTCTTGTACTTTATACATATTACTATATATGAACTATAGTAATTCTTTACTGAAACTGCTGGGTAGAAGTAATTATTACCCAGTAACTGCTGGGTAATTATTCATGGTAACCTAGAGACCAGAGGCATAAGATTAAGCAATTTTGAAAGAAGAAAAAGAAACCCAACTATTTATAAGTCTCACCTTTAACTTCTTATCCAAATAGGCTGGAGAAACCCAACCTTGTCTTGATGGGCTTGACTTGGTGGGTTTCGTCCTGACCAGCCACTTCAAAGGATGAGCAGAGTCTAAAACCTCCACGTATTGCCCTTCCTTCAGAGTGATGGTTTCACGGTCTGCCCCCATTGGGATATAGTCAGCAATGACCATGTAGATGTCAAAAATCTATGAAGAGAAGGATGAATTGAATTGAATTGAATATATCAAATAAATAGAGAATCCAGATGGAATGGAATAGAGAACAGGGAATGGATTGGACTGGACTGGACTAGATTAGACTAGAGTAGAGTAGGAATAGACTAGACTATGGCTAAATTCGACATTATATTTGTCTGTGAAACATGGCTCAATGCATCTCTCCCCGACTCCATTACCACAGTAAGAGACTATCATGTTTACCGATCAGATCGTGAAAATCGTCGAGGAGGTGGTGTTGCTATCTTCTATAAAAAGTCCTTACATCTAAAAAATATCCAAGTTACCCAGGAGCTTGCTTTTCCTGAGACCATCATCTGTGAACTATCCTTAAATATCACAATTCGATTCTTACTATGTTACAGAGCACCTGATTATGACATCGAACATGTAAACAAGCTAAATACACTACTAACATGGGCAGCATCCTGCCCATACCCTTTTATCTTTCTTGGTGATTTCAATCTACCTCATATTGACTGGACCCTAAATGAATGTACAACTGAAACCATACACGCAAACTTCTACAATGCTGTTACAAATCTGGGACTGGAACAACTAGTAACCAACAACACTAGACTAAACAACTGCCTCGATCTCATCTTCTGCAATAGTTTGAATTTAATTTACGGAATACAATCTAAAGAACCCTTTTCCAGCAGTGACCACAATATGATTGACTTTTGTCTCAACATACGTCCACACAAAAACCACCACAATGACGTAATCCCCAATTGTAACTTCAAAAAAGGCAACTATGATCTTATAGACAATGATCTCTCATCCCTTGATTGGCAATCTCTATTCACTGGATGCAATACTGTTGAAGACTATTACAACATATTTTTACTTGAAGTCAAAAGAGTCATCAAACTATATGTACCAACAACAACTCCCAAAAAAAACCAAAAAAGCAGATTACCCATAACAATAAGGAAACCAGTCCAAAAAGAGATCACTCTGGCGGAAAAACAAATCTGGTCACGTTGCCAATTTCAAAAGCCGATACAAAAATTTATGCCACCAGATAAAGACCGAATGCACCAATTATCACATTAAACAAGAGGAAAACCTTCTAAGCACCAATTCCACCCGTGCTTTCTACAATTTTGTAAACAACAAACTAAAAGACTCAAGATCCATCCCATCCCTGATAGGACCTAATGGTAAAGACTGCAATGACAACACCATTAAAGCCAACATCTTTAATACATTCTTCGGCTCAATATTTGTAAACAGCAATGGATCATGCCCAGTATTTCCTAGCCGAACCACAGATAACTACAATGATCTAATACATATCGATTTTACAGAAGACAATGTTGAAAAAGCACTACGCAATCTAAAACCATCTCTATCTATTGGACCGGATGGAATATGTGCCTACTT